GGGAGCCAGGTATTCCTTTAATTTGATTAGCCAGTGCCCCCTAAGGAATTTAAATGCCCCCTGGCTTAAAAAATCCTGGCTATGGGCCTGCTTATGTGGTCTTCAGCTCTGCACTAAGGTTTATGTCAATCACACTTTCATCTACTCCAAATGCAGCAATGCCACAGCCAGCAATGATCAGCTCACCCAGCAATTTCACCAGGGACTCACTTCCCCAAGTTTTAAGAGCTGTCTGTTCCCAGAAGGATAGTGTTCATCGAGGTTTATAGTTTATAAGGCCCCTTCTTCTATTCTGCTTCCATCCCATCATTCCATCTGTAGCAGTTAAGTGCGTGGACTCTAATCTGGGAGAACTGGGTTTGATTCTCCACTCCTCCACTTGCAGCTGCTGGATGACCTTGGGCAAGCCATAGTCTGTCAGATCTGTCCTTGAAAGGGCAGTTCTTGAAAGAGCTCTCTCAGCCGCACCTACCTAGGGTTGCCAAGTCAAAATATCTTACTGGCGGGGGAGCCTCGCCGGGCTCCGGGAGCCGTCCTTCGATGCACGCACACGCGCCGCCAGCACATCACCAGAAGTGACGCATGACGTCAATCACGTTGAAGCCGTGGCCCCGATCGTCGGAGGGGAAACCATAGAGTTTTCTCTCTGACGATCGGGGCCATGCCCCCAATGTGATTGACATGGTTGTGTTACCTCCGGTGACACAGCCACGCTGTGCTTTGGGGGGCGGAGTTCCCCCCCCCGAGGGCCCGATTCCGTGGTGGTGGAAATCGGGCCTCCGAAGTGGGGGTTTACCCGCCCCCACTTGGCAGCCCTACACCTACCTCACAGGGTGTCTGTTGTGGGGAAGGGAAGGGAAGGGAAGGGAAGGGAGTTTGTAAGCCACTCTGAGACTCCGAGTGAAGGGCAGGGTATAAATCCAATCTCTTCTTCTCTTCTTCATCCTACAGGGAGGTTTAAGGGCTGCCAGTGAAAAAGCTATTTCCATTTGCAAAAGACACCTGATACATATTATTCTTCAACATTCATTTCAACTAGGGTTGCCATTCTTCCAGTGGTACCAGGAGATCCCCCGATTTCAGGGGCCTCAATCCGCCATGGCCCAGCTGGCCAGAGGGGAAGCCCCATCCCCAAGAATCCCCCTTCTGGCGCCACTGGTGCTGGTGTGATGGCATCAACTGGGAGTGATGTCATTGCGTTTCCAATGTTGAGGCCAAAAACCCCATAGAGTTTTGCCCAAAACCTACAGCATCTCCCCCAATGTCGGAAACACTATGATATCACTTCCGGGTGCCATCATTGCAGTGTGTGCACAAAGTGTGTGAGCCAGAAGAACTCATGGAAGGAACAGGAGTCCCCCCCCCAAAAAAAGCAGCCAGGTAGGACCTGGCAACCATAATTTCAACTTTGGTTTCAACTTTGCCTTTTTCTTCTCTCCAGGGTTGCCAGCCTCCAGGTTCAGCCTGGAGATCTCCCAGAATTGCAACTGATTTCCAAAATACAAAGATCAGCTTTTTTGGAAGAAGTGGCAGCTTCACAGGGTAGACTCTATGGCCTTATACCCCAATGAGGTACCTCCCCAAACCCCACACTCCCCAGGCTCCAGTCCCATAGTTCCAAGAATTTCCAGACTTGGAGTTGGCAGCCCTGCTTCTCTCTAAACACAAGAACTATTTATGTCAAACATTTAGACACACACCCTGCACTTACTTCTTACTTTCATCCCTAAACAAACATTCTTAGAATGAAAGAATAAATATGTCCAGGCTTGATTGAAGTTTGAACCAAAAGTAACAGATATAGTAATACCTAAGAACATATGAGAAGCCAATGTTGGATCAGGCCAATGGCCCATCCACTCCAACACTGTCACACAGTGGCCAAAAAAGCAGATGCCATCAGGAGGTCCACCACTGGGGCCAGGACACTAGAGGCCCTCCCACTGTTGCCACCTCCCAAGCACCAAGAATACAGAGCATCACTTGCCCCAGACTGAGAGTTCCTATCTATACCTTGTGGCTAATAGCCACTGATGGACCTCTGCTCCATATGTTTATCTAATTCCCTCTTGAAGCCGTCCATGCTTGTAGCTGCTACCACCTCCTGTGGCAGTGAATTCCATGTGTTAATCACTCTTTGGGTTAAGAAGTACTTCCTTTTATCCATTCTAACCCGACTGTTCAGCAATTTCATTGAGTGCCCACGAGTTCTTGTATTGTGAGAAAGGGAGAAAAGTACCTCTTTCTCTACCTGCTCTACCCCTCAGCCGTCATTTCTCCAAGCTAAAGAGCCCCAAGCGTTTTAACCTTTCTTCATAGGGAAAGTGTTCCAACCCTTTTATCATGCTAGTTGCCCTTTTCTGCACTTTTTCCAATGCTATAATATCCTTTTTGAGGTGTGGTGACCAGAACTATACACAGTACTCCAAACGAGGTCACACCATCAATTTATACAAGGGCGTTATGATACTGCCTGATTTGTTTTCAATTCCCTTCCTAATCATTCCCAGCATAGTGTTGGCCTTTCTTACTGCAGTCACACACTGTCTTGACATTTTCATTGAGCTATCTGCTATGACTCCAAGATTTCTCTCTTGGTCAGTCTCTGCCAGTTCGGACCCCATCAACATGTATCTATAGTTAGAATTTTTTGCTCCAATGTGCATCACTTTGCACTTGGCCATACTGAACCCCATTTGCCACATTGACGCCCACTTGCCCATCCTCGACAGATCCCTTTGGAGTGCCTCACAATCCTCACTGGTTCTCACCACCCTGAACAACTTCGTGTCATCTGCAAATTTATCCACTTCACTGCTTACTCCCAATTCCAAATCATTAATAAACAAGTTAAAAAGCATCGGACCCAATACTGATCCCTGTGGTACCCCACTGCTTACCAACCCTCCACTGAGAAAATTGTCCATTTATACTCACTCTCTGTTTCCTATTAATTAGCCAGTTTTTGATCCACAAAACAACTTGTCCTTTTATCCCATGACTATTGAGTTTACTTAGGAACCTTTGATGAGGAACTTTATCAAAAGCTTTCTGGAAGTCAAGATAAACAACATCTATTGTGTCCCCCTTCTCCACATGTTTGTTCACTCCCTCAAAGAACATTAACAGATTAGTGAGACAAGATATTCCCTTACAGAACCCATGCTGAGTCTGCCTTAATAGTTTTTGTTCATCAATGTGCCTACTAATTCTTTCCTTAATAATAGTTTCCACCAACTTACCCGGTATCAACGTCAGGCTGACTGGCCTGTAATTTTCCAGATCTCCTCTGGAACCCTTTTTAAAGATGGACTGTGCAGGCTGTAATGGCCTAATCTCTCCTTATATATAAAAGCTTTTTGGTGGTGGCACTCTCCAGAACATTCCACACGCTCCGGAATTGGTTGGCGCCCTGGTATGTCACTCAGAATCTGTCCCTATCCACTGGCTGTGTCGCTTGAGTCTCACCTCCAACGTTCTAAACAATTTGCTGTTCCTTTCCCCCCCATAGCCAGTCAGAACACAGAGGTTATTTGCATATGCGGCCTCATTGGCCTTTGCCTCGGAACATAGAGGTTGTTTGCATTGCTTGATTGCATTGCTTGATTGGCCTTTGCGTCTAACATTCTAAACAGTTTGCTGTTGTTGTTCTGAGGTAAAATGTGTTTTGAGGCAAAATACATTTCCCCTTAGTGCCTTTTGGGGAAACCATTGTTGCCAATCTCCAGGTGAGAGCTGGAGATCACTCAGAATTACAACTGCTTTCCAGATGGCAGAGATCAGTTCCCCTGGAGAAAATGGTGGACTCTGTGTCCTTATATCCTGCTGAGATGGCCCCCGTATGACAGCCAATGTGACGTAGCAGTCAGGGCTTCAGAGCATGGGAGATGCTGCAGGTGTGTGGGGGGTGGAAAGCTGAAGAGTGAGGGGGAAATAAAGGTAGGTTGAAGATTGACTGGGAAGGAGATAGTGTTGCTAACTCCAGGTGGTTGAGAACTTTTTTTCCCTGAGATACTAGTTTTACACTTGATATTTTTTTCACCATCATGAACAATTCAAACCAGTATCACCCACATGCAATGGTACAGTCCACTCTGCCATCTCAGGATTCTATTTCAGTCTTCTGACTGTGGCCTTACTGAAGTGTAAAACTACCAATGTACTGAGGGGAATATACTATCACTTGAAAACCAAAGGTAGTACTGTACTGAGCAATGTAAAATGAAATATGTGTTATTTGTTTATGTACATTTATTATTATAATAATAAAAATAATTTTTTTAAAAAGTGTAAAACTGTTATATAATTAAAATATTTGTAGTTTAGTTTCCAAAGACAACCAGTGCTGAGACTTATGAAAGCAACATAACTTGATGATATTTTTGTGACTCTTGTGAGGTTAAACTACCAGATTTTGTTTGGTAAATGAGTCCTAGCAAGATCTTAAATGGGTAAAGGGGATAAAGGACACTCACAACAGTGGCTGCTATTCAGAAAGTCAATATCTACCCACAGTTAGTACACAACGGTCTGTAAGAACATGGCTGTTTCTTATTTATTCAAAGAGAAGAGAAATCTACAGGATCTTGGATGCTGCTGTGCAACAAGCACAAATGCAAATCATTATGACAATCACCAGACATAACTACTCCACAATCATACACAATCATTCCATATCCTAGCCTCAGGTACACAACGTTTTTGACATAATTTATCACATCCCCAGCATAATTCCAGCATTACTACATTCCTGCCCTGAACATCTACATGACCTAGTAACTGGAGCAAGCATAAGGGCACTGCTTCCATGACCAAAGATGCTCAAAATGCTTCCACCTATAACATTCAGTACCAGCCATTAGTGGTATTTACTTGAGGCAATCATGAAGCTGCTTTATATTGAATCAGACCATTCATCCATGAAAATGAGTCTTCTCTACTCAGACTGGCAGTGGCTGTCCAGAGTCTTTTACATCATCTCTTAACCAATCTTTTTTTGCTGGAGATGCCAGGTATCAAACCTAGGACCTTCTGCATCCCAAGCAGATGCTCTGCCACTGAGCTACAGCCCCTCCCATTTCTTGGTGAGCCGGTATCTTGTGATTCCTCTCTGATACCCAAGAAATAAATGTTACATGCACTAGTCCATCACCGTCAGTTTTATTTGGATGTAAATATGAACTCATCTCTTATTGTTTTCACACAATAATAAGGGGTATGAATAAGTATCAGCTTCCAAGTTGGAAACACAATCAGTGCAACCCTCAGAAAAGTTACAACTTTCCAAGTCCACTGAAGTCATCATCCTTCCTACTTCTGTTCCATCAGTACTTCAAGCTCATCATCTCCCCAATGTCCCCAGTGCACATGAGTCTAATGATTTTGATTCAATTTGGATTTTAGATTTTTGCTCCCTGGTTTTCATACACCATTTTTTCAGAGCATTTTCTTTTACCAATCTCTAGGGAGAAGAAAATTGCCTTGGATATTCATTCTTTGCCAGCGTCTGAATTTATTTTTTCCTGGCAAGATTCACTGTCTCAATTCACAGATGCCACACCACTGTAAACCAACTGTAAATGGGTTCCTGTCACTTTTGGGGGGTGGAGGAAAGCCACATATATTGTGTGTGGCTCCTGCAGTAAACACAGGGTCACTCTCTTAATACTGAGGTGTCACACACTGCTTACAAAAAACCCCAACAATCTAGGCAGGCAGCTGCAAAAGCCTCTCAACCCAGAGCCCAATAAACTTGCCCTCCAGTGCAATTAGAGATCAAACTTGAGAATGGCACACACTCTGGTGAAAGCTGAACCAGAGCTGAATGAAAAATCGGAGACTACATGCAAAATGCATATATAGAAGCCGGCTGTAAAGCACATGCAGAATTGCCTTTCAAACATTAGCAGTTCTTGCTTTTCTCCTAGTTGGGATTCTTTCCTAAGAGTCATATCTGACCATTCTGGGCTCTTAACTGAGTAGTTTAGTTTGCCTTTTAAAAGCACATATCAAAGATAAGATTAAAAAAGCCATGGATTTAATATATGTCTCTCTTCATCCCACTATCTTTCTGCACATAGGCATACCATCAATAGTACACAGCAGTACCCTTGCACTGCCAAGATTGTAGCATGCAATCATGGCTGAATCAATGCACCATATTGTGCCCCCTCCCTTTTTCTGCTGGGAGCAGAGCCCAGCAGGAAGATCAATCAATTTGGATGCCCAAATCAGACTAGACCCAAAAGGGTGAGAGTTATTCTAGCATTTCTACCTTTGTTATCATTCTCACTCTCTACATCAAACCCCTGATTCAGACTTCAAAGATGTCTCCTACTGGTAGTAGTCAAGTATGTCCACATAGGCACTGGCATTTCCTCCTCAGGAACAACATTGTCCTCCTTTTTATTTGAACCACAATGTAGCAGGAGGTTTTCAGGTGCACTACCAGATTCAGAAGTCTTCCTACTCCTGAGCTTGTGCACATTGGGATGACTCTGACCTTAGGCTGCAGGGAGTTCCTCCATCCTACGAAACCTTCTTCCAATGTATGTAGTTGATTCATCGGAGGAAATATTCTTAGGCTGGAGAAAGGTGTCAAACTACACTCAGTGGAGTGGTAGGATACAAGTAGGTTCCATGCCAATATTTGTCCTTATACTTACCCTAATCTTCCTCCAAACAACTAAGAGTGGCAGTGTGGTAGGATACAAGTAGGTTCCATGCCAAAATTTGTCCTTAGACCTATCCTAATCTTCCTCCAAACAACTCAGAGTGGCAGTTTAGCCTCACAACTATCTTATGAGATAGGTAAAGTTCAGAGATAGTAGCTTGCTCAACGTCCTCTAATGAATCAGTAGTGATTCAGTGACTTGAAGCTGGGATTCCTGTATCCAAGTCACCATTCTAAGGATGCAACACAATGGGCCCTCAAACCTAAACATCAACTTAACTGTAAGTCTGGTGTACTAGAGCTACAGTGTGAGGCAAATATTCTCAAGTGCATTGTCATGATTTAGATCTCCTTTGCAAAATGTCATCTTTATATATTTTTCCTAAGAGAGGATTATCTTTTATAACTTCCCCAACATGGCCAGGCACAAATCAATACAAGAAACAAAATCATAATATCTTGTAGTAAAGAAGTAAAGTATTTTGAAAAATATGATATTGATATTGGCAAAACAAGATCAAAGACAACTTCTTCCTGTTCTATGTCAACATCAAAATCAGATATGTGTTATTCTTTAATATTCAAGGGAAAGCAGCTTCAGCCATCCAACATCACATTGAAACAAAAGGCTGAGGTTCCTTTTAGATAACTTCTGTCCTTGCCTAGTCTTTTAGGGTGACATTTGAAGATTAATGAACCAAGGGAGAAAAGACCCCCCCCATGTGCCCCCTGCCCCCTGTGAGTGTTTCAATACTCTCTGCATGACACTGTGCATGTGTTTCAGGGGCTAAATTTATTTTATTTATCCTGCAATAGAGTTTAACTTCCACTAGTTCCAGTCCAGGGTATCCTTTTGTGCACATTGCTTTGCACTTTGCTACCATTCCAAAGATCTAGTAATTTTTCCAGTGGGATGTATGCATAGTGTGCGGGCACACACACTCGCACATTACTGCAAACCACTTGTTAAACCTGGGGGGAAAGAACCTTAAATGCTTTTGTGACATAACATGGGGAATGTGCAGTTTAGGGAATTACAGCAAAATGTTCCACTGTAGGCACCAATGTTGTTTCTCTAGATTAAGAACCATTAACTTTGATAGCACAAATCACTTAAAAGAGTGTAATCCCTTTGATGTCAGTGAAAGGAATTATTTGACCTCTTGAGACATTGTGATGTCACTACAAATGAGACTATGGCTCAACTGCAGATACCATTTTCTCCATCCACCTTCTTTCTAAAGATAGAAGCTCTATTTCTTGTAATTTTAAAGAAATAAATACAGTCTCTGTATGGCTAGATGGTCTTTTGTAAGGTTATCTTTGGGTAGGGCTTGCCATTTTGTTGTATATTTTATTTGCTACCTATTTCACCCCCTTTCCAATGAGACTATCAGCTGTCATGAAACTGGGCTGAAAAGTACAGCAGTAGGAGCTCTCTTTATGATATTCACGTCTAGTGCTTCTCCATGGAAAATGAGCATGCATTTGAACTATTAGGGGAAATGCTTACTTTTGTTAGTACATGCTGATGTTTTTATTAAGCGGAAACAAGACATGAATGGAGACAGTTTAGAACTAGGGAAGAATTACAGTATATTTTAGAAGCGGTGGAGGGAGAGGCAGTCATGCTAAACTAAGGAGACAAATTTGGTTGAACAGCAGCATGCCAGATATGGAAGTGCAGGTTGCACCAGTCTTTGCAATTGTACTGTAGTTCCAAGCATTCAGGGGAAGAGGTTCTAAAAGCTTCATTATTCATGATGAACTTCCTTCATGATGCATGATAAAATATAAGACTATGGTTATCATGATTATCAGAATGTGAGCCACTCAGCTGACTGTGGTTAATTAAAGTCCACCTAACCAGGATCTGAAACCATAGTCTACTGTTGGCAGATTAACCACAATTGGTATAATAGAAGGTTTTGCATAATATACAAGTGCAAACATCCTGCCTTACTCTGAGCATGGTCTCTGATGCTGCTTTGACATACTGCCCAGTTACAGAGATTCCTGATCAAAGTGAAGTTCATGAAACCAGTGTTTATAATGGCAAACTAAATCCCAATGGCAGAACTCTCAGGCCGCTTTGAGAAGATTCCATTAGTTGAAAGATTCTGTAGTTGTGAAACAGGGAGTCTTGGCACTTTGTTACACTTTTTATTGGACTGTCCAAAATTTCATAGGTACAGAACCATGTTAGTTTCCCCCTTCCTAAAGGGCCAGGCCAGTTCTCCAGCCCACTGTAAGATACCGGAAATCTTTGCCGGAAATGACCACGATACTACTCTGGCTGTTGCTAAGTTCTTTTCCTATGTAATTAAATCTAATAGATAGTTAGACCTGATAATTTGATGTTTTACCTGTTGTAGGTATGCTCACCCTTATAATTATTATCACTGTTTTATTGCTATTATGCTGAACTGTTAATGCACAAGATTGTAGTCATAAGAGCAGAGAATTAAAGTAAAAGTACAAGTTCATCACAAACTTTAGTTCACACACTGGTTCATACCCATCCTTAATCCAGAGTGACCCTCCACCCAGGCTTGTTCACCATCATCTTCACAGGAAATTGCCTTATACTGAGTCAGGCCATTGGTCTTTCAAGATCAATATTGTCTACTCTAATTGGGAGGGAATCTCCAGGGTCTCTGCCAGAGGTCTATCAATCACCTCTTACCCGATCCTTTAAGATGGATATACTGAGGACTGAACTTTGGACCTTCTGCATGTAAAGCAGATGCTCTACCATTCAGCCAGGGTCCCTACCTTGTCAAAAGTAGAACCATGAATACTGAGGTCTTTGGAGGAAAGGCAGAATAAAAATGTAGTGGATATATTAAAAAATCTAACAATCTCCCCCGAAAACAACAACTTGAAACCATATCAATCAGCTATAAAATCATTTTAATTACACCTATTATAAAATAAGAAAGAGATATGTGTACAATTTTCAAATGCCTTCTAGAATAGAGGATTTTCAGTCTTCTGAGCCTCCACAAAGAGGCACAATTATCTTGTCCAAAAACTCACTCCTACATCCTATGGATACTGCAGGAGGGAAAAAGATTTTCTTATCACTGACCTAATCTCCATACAAGACAACAATGCTATCATAGCATCAATGCTGTACCCAGCAGGCTTCAGTGCAATGTGGGGATCTGAATCCAGGTCTCCCAGATCCTAGCCTGACACTCTAAGTAACCACAACCCCACAATGGCTTTCTTGGGGAACAGCTTCCCTGAGGCCATCTGTCAGGCCTTGTCTTGTCTTTTAGAAAGGAATGGAAAACTTTTCTTTGTGAAAGGGGTTTTGTTCATCTTAATGGTGGGGGAAATGTGTGTTTTGGTGTAGGGGTTAAGAATGGCAGGCTCTAATCTGGAGAACTGGGT